TCAGGTTAACCTATGCCATTTTGGAAAATTTTTCCTGTTTTCCGATTAAGTTTTGCATGCCATGGATGAACACTTTGAAAATCCAAAGAAATTTTTTCAGGATTTGCTATGGAACAAAGATCCGGAAGCAACCGAAAAATTACTCAAGCTTGCTCAGAGCTTAAAAAAAGATAGCAGCGGGGATACAGCAGAAGTCGAGGAATGGCGTGAGAGTAGCGTGGAAAAAAGACTAGAATATGCCATTGTTAAGGTTCCTTTGTTTTGAAATTGTGTTTTGTTGGAAAAAGAAGGAATTCATGTTTTTTATCTTTTCAGTTTAATATGTATTCGGATTATTTTATTCATTTGACTAGCACATTGTGGTAAAAAATAGTAGTGATATATTCATACCAAATTTCTTCGAAGATTTTACTTCGCTAGCGGGGCAATAAATCCGACAGTATTTGTTCATTCGTTCGATGGTAAATTGGTACTGGCACCTTCTAGGTATTCGCACCCGCCATCGTCTTGCTCCCAAGCAATTCTCGTATAAACAATGAGATACCTACAACGATTACTCGCGCGGCCCTGCTAATTGTAGCAAATGAAGAACAGTCAAAACTTTTTCTTCACCTTTAAAAGTAAAATATGTGTGAAATTTGTAATATTAGGGTATCGATACCTATGTAGTGGAAGATACAGAGGAAGCGCGACTGGACACTGCAAAATATCCTCGACCGCTGAATGTCATCGAACAGCCGCTTATGGCTGGAATGTCTGTTGTTGGCGATCTTTTCGGTTCCGGTAAAATGTTCCTTCCACAGGTTATGAAATACTTGTGTTAATTTTCACTGGAATAAGGTTTTTTTTTCCTATACAGCTTAAGGAAAATACTTTTCTGACTATTTCCACAAACATTAATTTATGCAAGTTATATTGGAAATTTGAATGAAAACACCGAAATTTTATGGAAGACGCAAAAGCAGTAGCCGTGCAAAACAAATCGTGTTTCATCTCTTAGCTATAAACACAGACTGAGCAACACATGATAGTAAGGGGTTGGGAATAGTCACTTTACTCCTTGAAGTTCCCCAATGATGTAAATTTTTAGAAATGAAGTTCAATTTTAGCTTTTTGTTAAATTTTTTTTTTTGAATTCATATCTACCCAGTCGTGTCTACAATTACTTTTTAAGCAAATTTTTAGGTCATCAAATCAGCACGTGTTATGAAGAGAGCAGTTTCGCATCTAATACCATTCATGGAAGCGGAAAGGATAAAAAATATGCAGGAGAACAAAGGCAATGCTGATGAGGTAAAGAACATGTATAATTTTCGTGCAGTTTTGGTTGTTTCCCAGCAAGCAATCAAAACTGTAAAAAAAAACTAATTCTGAAGAAATTCGCAAAAGTTATCTAGTTTTTAGCCGTAGGAAACGTCATTTTACATTTCTGGACTTGTTTTGATGATATCAAGGAATCTCAGGATGTCAGAACTGCTTTCAGTCTGGTTCTTCTCCGGAATAATCCACCGGTAGCCTTACTAGCGGATAGTTGCTATTGGTAGCTATTGGCCGCCTCTCATGGACGGTAAAACACCCTACTGGGTGAGGAGAAAGTTTTTCGGATTTTAAGTTTTCAAAAATCTTGAATTGAATGCTTTTCAGAATCCTTACCAGGGCACGGTTGTGATGGCAACAGTGAAAGGTGATGTCCACGACATCGGTAAAAATATTGTTGCCGTTGTTTTGGGATGTAATAATTATCGGGTGATTGATCTGGGCGTTATGACTCCGTGTGAGAAAATCATCAAAACAGCAATCGAAGAAAAAGCAGGTTTTCGTAACTTTTTCCGAGTAAACTTACTGCACAGTTTCGCATTCTGATTTCTCGCCTTTACTATTTTTAACTCAGCCACAGTCATAATTGTAGCGTTTCTTTTTACGACGTTAAAACAGGGTTGGCAATACTGAAGTGTCGCGGAAAATCCACGAAAAGCCAGCAAAGCCATGAAAAGGACGTATGCTGTCTTCGAAAAGCAGCAAAGAAAAGAAAGGTGCATTCTACTTAAGCAGAAATGAAGTAGAAGGGCTCCTGGAGCACAAAGGCCGGTGGTGTCTTGGATAGCACGTTGCGTCCAGATGTGAAGAGGAGTGGTTCGATTCTCTTCAGGTCCACAAATCTTTTTGAAAAGGAGCTCCTTTCACTGCGCAATGAAAGCAGTAATAGTTGGAATGAGATGCTGGTGATCAACACACGCCATCAACATCTCGAAATACCTAAAGTTTCGCCAAGTTTTTATATCAAACAATCATACTGTTAAAAATCCCTTCAGAAGACGGTGCAAACAATAGAATCACCAGTAATCTCATCGCCAGACCATGCAGCGTTAGTTAAAGCAGCTGAAAAAGCTTCCAGATGTATAGTTAGAGAACGACGCTATGAACTGCAGCTAATCGAAGCATCAAAATAATCTGTCACTAAACGCAGTTTGTCAACCAAATGCTAGGAACCTGGAAAAGTCAATAATTTCTTTGATTTGAAGATTTCATTGGTTGTTCTGGATTGATTACGCCATCACTGGACGAAATGGTCCACGTGGCTCGTGAGATGGATCGTGCTGGATTACGAATTCCGCTGTTAATCGGCGGAGCAACTACATCCAAAACTCATACTGCCGTGAAAATTGCGCCACGTTATTCTGGTCCTGTAGTACATTGTTTGGATGCGTCGAAATCTGTCGTTGTGGTATTTTTTTCAAGCTTATTTGTTCGAGGAATAAGATATTCAGAAATTTCGGGGGGCTTGACTTGATGGAGAACGAATATAAAATGGCTTGACTTTGACTTTTACTTAACATTTTTCAATCAATTTATGCCCAATCTTGGTGGGTTCAAGACCGATCCAGTGACTTATTCCTGGATGTTTATCATAATTTTAGGATAAATCGCTAAATTTTTGCATTTTTTCTGTTTCCGGATAATTTTGTTTGCATAAGACCAAGCGAAGCAGCTCTTACACATTGCTAAACCTAGAAGTGGCTGCATTTAAATGTTCAAGGATGTGTTATTTGTGGTGTAAGAAGTGCTTTAAACAAAAATACAAGTCTAAAAGACATTTATACGGGATTCCCGCATTAACTGCATCATTTTCAGTGTTCTTCGCTTACTGATCCAAAAACCCGTGATGAATTTTTAACGGATATTGCGGAGGATTATGAAATAGTTCGCGAAGAGCATTATGAATCCTTGCGAGAAAGGAGTTTTGTACCGATAAATTTGGCTCGAGAACGCAAGTTACAACTGGATTTTACTAATTTCAAACCAGGTCTGACACTTTCTAATAGAAGTCGCTTTATTAAAAATGATATTCCCGATAAAATTCTGAATCTTCATTCTTTTCCTCTTTTTCTTATAAATTAAATCGCAAAACTGAAGGCCAGTAATTGGAGTCAATCCTAAAATAATTTTCAGAGGCTAAAAAAGTGCTTTTTTTGAAATCGAAAGATTTTCAGGTCCAGTGAATTCTGATGACTTCCTTTTGTAGTACTTCAGTTTTTTTTAAAAAATTCACTGATTTTCATATGTTTCACTTGTTAGAATTACTTACAATCTCTTTTCAGTGATGCCGACATTTTTGGGTACTAGAAGTTTTCCGGATTTTGATCTCAATTTACTTTTACCATTTATTGATTGGAAACCATTTTTTGATGTCTGGCAGCTACGTGGCAAATATCCAAATCGCGCATTTCCGAAGATTTTCAATGACGCAGATGTTGGCGAAGAAGCACTTCGACTCTACAATGTTAATTTTTGCTTGCCAAAGATACCAAGACCGCTTCATAGGCAGACGCAGGGAGAACAAAGGGTCTTTCCCCTCTCTCCCCGCTTTCTCTCCCCACCCCTAGCGGTGCAGGTACCAGTGTTACAAAAGCCCGGATCTGTTCATAAATAAAACTAAAGTAACTTTAAGTAGCAGTGTTACAACTCTATCCCTGGTTTTTGCATAATTCCAAGGTTGGAGGGGACTCTCCCGCATCCCTGTCGCCTCCTTCCTTCCACCTCTGTCCTCCTGCCACCTCAGGAGTCCGTCCTGGATCCGCCTATGGACCGCCCAGATAGTCTGTGTGATATCCCATGTTAATGATTTCCGGGATGCTCTTTTAAACTAGGCCTTTCATACCTCAAGTTAGTATGGCCTTTCACACCACTGTCTGTTCAGTGTAATTTTCCGCGTTTGCTCTGTATGAAATTACCTCAGAATAACAAAGGCATTCAGCAGCTGCAGCTCAGATTCCCCAGTGCTGAACCCCGTCCCCTCCCCTACCTTACTTTTCATGTCTTGCTTTTGTGATAAGCCAAGCACTTGTTCAAAAGGTAACAGGCCTTTATCAGTAATAGGAACTATCTTAGTGGTCAGTCTGGAAAAATCGTAAACTTTCAGGATGCTCAGGAACGATTGCGGCGATTGATTGATGAGGAGGAACTAAGTGGTGCAGCTGTAATAGCATTTTATCAGTGCTGTTCAATCGGTGACGATATTTTGATATTTTC